CGTTTTCGTGCATGCTATGGAGCCTGCAAGTCACACGCTGCGCGAAGACTCACACCGGTTATCTCGGACCCGCAATGTACTGAATAGTACAAGAGTGGGATCTATTTGGTGTCCATCGTACTTCCGCTGGTACATGTGATGGCGTCATGTTGACCTTGGCTGTACACGACATACTATGGGCAGTGGGCGCCGCTCTGCTTGCCTGTGCTGCCTTCAAGATCATCCGAGTCTTACTCTTGCCTTATACATCTTCCCTGCGTGATCTTCCTGGCCCTCCCGCATCGAGTTGGCTATTGGGGAATGTCAGCGAACTCATGGCTGCTGAGGACTTCGCCTTGCATTTTGAATGGCTAGAGAAATATGGCCCGACGATGAAGTACAATGTCTGGTTCAAGGTACGCTCGTGAACTCCAAATGACAAGAATGTTACAGCGATACTGTCCTCAGTTACCCGAACTCCTCACGATCGATGCACGGGCAATCAACCATGTCCTCAGTCATTCGCAGGATTACCCAAAGCCGGAGGAAACACGTGTCAGCCTTGTAGAGATACTTGGTAACGGTTCGTGCCCGTCTTCATCATTTGCGCGCACCTTATAACAGTGCGTTGGTATATGTGTAGGGCTCGTGGTCGCAGAAGGTATGCCCTCGGATCACTCTACCTGTTCCTTGTTGTGACGACCTTCATTCGATCATAGGGGAGCTTCACCGTCGACAAGTCAGTATCAATCTTGTTTGGTACCTCATCTCCCACTGACGTATCGCGCAATTGTGCAGCGGAGAATCATGGTAATCCGCCACTGAAGTATCAGCAACAAATAGCTGATCTGACAGCGTAGAACCCGGCGTTTGGCCCGGCGCAGATCAGAGAATTGACGGAGATCTTCGTTGATAAAGCTCAACAGGTAAATCCAGTGGTCTTATCGCCCACCTCGCACTCTCATGATTAACCGTAGCTGCGAGACATCTGGCGGAACGAAGTGACTACCTGCGGCGGGACCGTGCGGATCGACGTCCAAAGCGGTCTGACGAAGATGACACTCGACGCGATTGGCCTCGCAGGTACATTTGTCATTTACTCATATTATATGCGGACCGGCCCACGTATTGTCTTCCAGGCTTTAACTACAATTTCAACGCGCTCAATCCGGACGGCAAAGCGAACGAGCTCAACAGGGCTTTTGAGATGATGTTTCAGCGCATGGCCGACCTCGAACGGAGCTACTGGCTCATTATCAGATCTCTCATCCCGATCCTGCGTTATATTGTGAGTCACGTCCAACGCACATTCTAGCACGGTCGTGTTGACACCGCTGGCGTCCACAGCCCGACGGCTACACCAGGGACACCGCCGCCGCTCAAAAGGTCACCCGGCGGATTGGTATGCAGCTCATTGCGGAGAAGAAGGCAGCCGTGAGACAAGCAGCTCAGTCGGGCGAGAAGAACGCAGGGTCAGAGCTGAGGAGCCGTGACTTGCTCACACTACTCATCAAGGCAAACATGAGCCCCGATATCCCAGAAGACCAGAGGCTCTCGGATGATGATGTCTTGGCCCGTATGTCACATCATCATGCTGTCGTAGTCGCACGCTGAACATGTCTGCAGAGGTTCCAACGTGCGTCGAATCTACAAGCGTCGGGTCGAGCTTTTAACGAGGATGATACAGGTTTCTTGTCGCTGGGCACGAGACGACCAGCAATGCGACAACGTGGTGTTTGTATGCACTCTCCCAGCAGCCCAACGTCCAGCACAAGCTGCGGGAGGAGCTCTGGGGTGTCCCGACGGATAGCCCTTCGATGGAGGAGCTCAATGCGCTGCCGTACCTCGACGCGGTGATTCGGGAGACGATGCGCCTGTTTCCCCCAATCGCGGGGACCGTGCGCATTGCCACCAAGGATGACGAGATTCCTCTGGCTACGCCGTACATGGACGCGAAGGGGCGTATGCACGACAGTATCCGGTACGCACACTTGCAGCTGCGTTGCAATGTAGCGTATCTCACGCAAGGAGCCGCTCGTCGCGTGTAGGATTGATAAGGGAACCGCGTTCCCTATTCCGATTATAGGCATGAACAGGTCGAAGGCACTCTGGGGAGAGGACGCGCGGGAGTTCAGGTAGGCTGAGGATACTTTCGATGCTTGAGGTTTGCTGACGCATTCGCAGGCCGGAACGGTGGGGGTCCATCCCTGAGGCCGCGCAGCAAATTCCTGGTGTGTGGAGCAACCTGATGACCTTCATAGGCGGTCCACGCGCGTGCATTGGGTACCGCTTCTCGCTCATCGAGTACGTGGTTCAGCTTCTTAACTCGAAGCTACAGCTCGCTCAGTCATAGCGCTTGGTATGCAGGATGAAGGCGTTGGTATTCACGCTAGTGCGCGCCTTCGAGTTTGAGTTGGCGGTCCCGGTTGAGGATATCACGAAGAAGATCGGACTCGTCCAGCGGCCCTTTGTACGCAGCGAAATGGAGAAGGGAACACAGATGCCGTTGATAATCAAGTCGCACACGCGAGAGTAGGATGCCTCACACGAATCATTGTATCATATTCCGTACGTCCTGGTTTCGACACTTGTGAAGCTTTGTTCTGAAAATCCCTCGTAGACGTTGGTTGGCGTCAGGATAAATATGCTGAACGCTTGGCAGGCTTTGAATCTCCTCATTCACGGTTCTTTCAGAATAAGAGCATTATTCCTATGTGACGGCCTCCAATGCTGATCACATGTCTTCCGATCGCAAACTAGATGTTTTATATGATTTGGCACAGTTTCGAGAAGATCTGTTCAGGGAGCGCGAGGTATATGAATAAAGAGGCCTGTTCGTATGAATATCAGTCTTAGTCTTTGATGATAGACAGTACAGTGGAAGGATGATAATCAACAACGGCATGGGTAAGGGTCCACGAATGGATGAACAGCACCGGGCGCGCAATAATGTAGTGTTTTGGAACGCCTCAAGATTCCGTCACAGCTAAAAGCTTGAGTCGTATGCTTTCGGCATCACACCACGTTCCTCGTCGATGTAGAAGGGCTCTTTATTCTCGAAAATATTCCCTAAGTATCTCGCTGCTCTTGTTACAATGTACGAAGTTACGTATGCGCTGCTTGAGCAGTGCTAGTAAGGAGCAAGGCCAGGGCTTAGTGATAATCAGGTTATATACAACTAAAAACATTTAGGCAGATACAGTCCAAGCCTCTGGTGAATGAGATAATTTGGTT